AACCTGGGATGTGGAGGTTGCAGTGAGCCAAGATCGCACCGCTGCACTCCAGCCTGGGCGACAGAGCAAGACTCCATCTTGGAAGAAACAAACAAAAACAGGTGTGTACAGTCAGAGATATTTGTACTGGCAGAAATGTGTAAGTAACCTAAATGGTCAAGAGAATGGCTAAGTAAATTGTTCTGTTTATACTGTACTGTGTGACAGTTAAAATAATGTAGGACATATGTATGTACTGACAGAAAAATTTGAGTAAATTGTTAAATTTTTAAAAAAGGAGGTCACAGATAATATGTGTAGTATAATACTGGTTGGATTAAAAAAACAGAAACTGAACTAACCTGTATATAATGTGGTATACTTTTATAGGCAGATAAGCACATAAATCATAGTAAGGAAGGATCTACTCATAATAGTGGTTATAGCATGTAAGCATTAATAAAATACTTATGTAATCAAGAATAAAGAAAAAAGCCCAAATGAAAATTTATGAAAAGACTAGTAGTGGTTATTTCTGCACAGTTATTTTATGAATACATTTTCTTTTTTTATATTTCTCAATTTTTATAGGTAAAATATTTTATTGGAAAGTGTTAACTCGTAATGGGCCATTTATAAATGGGAGATAAATAATCGACAAGCAGCTAATAAAATTAATTCTTACAAAATAGAAAAGAAAAACCAGTGGAATTTAAGTAGATGGAAAGTATAGGGAGTTTGTAGGTAGGGGAGATGGAGGAAGGTGAGAGAAAGAAATACAGTCTAAAGTTTTATAGAGCCATCAAGCACCGTCTTATATTTTTTAAGCCATTCATGCAACAGATATTGCTATGAATATGATAGGATACTAACCCTTCGTATATTGCTGTGAATATGATAGGATCCTAGCCCTTGAAGAACTGGAGTTGTTGAAGGAGATACAAACAAGCAAATTACCATATATTGTGAGAAGAAAGAATCAGTAATGGAAAAGGAGTTGGTGAGGGTTGATAGAGAAAGCATTCCTGAAAGAACAGAAATGTAAGCTGAGATTTGGAGTTCGTTGAAAGTAGTGTGAAATGTGTGGAAAGGGAGAAACTATCAGCACATGAAATACCTTGTAACTAACTATTTTAAGGACTTGATTTCATTTATATAATTGCTACGTGTTCTTTGTAACATAGTGAAAAATAATCATGTTAGTTGTCTGGTGCTTAGTAGGCACATAATAAATGCTAATGGAATGAATGGTTGTGTATTTAGAGAGTCATGCTGAAAGGTTAAATAGCAAAATATGATATCTACTTGGAGAACAATGTTAAATTGTCAAGGAGATTGGCATTATATGAATACTCACATGGAAGGATATACAAAAATGAGAAAAGCGACATAATTAACTTCAAGAGATTTTGAAAATAGCTTTGTCTAAAGATGAAAAATTAAGTTCTGGCCGGGCGTGGTGGCTCAAGCCTGTAATCCCAGCACTTTGGAAGGCCGAGGCGGTGGATCACGAGGTCAAGAGATCGAGACCATCCTGGTCAACATGGTGAAACCCAGTCTCTACTAAAAATACAAAAAATTAGCTGGGCATGGTGACGCGTGCCTGTAATCCCAGCTACTCAGGCCTGAACCCAGGAGGCGGAGGTTGCGGTGAGCTGAGATCGCGCCATTGCACTCCAGCCTGGGTAACAAGAGCGAAACTTCGTCTCAAAAAAAAAAGAAAGAAAAATTAAGTTCTAAGTAACTTCCTAAAAAGATTTACATGACCACAGTGAGATGCTATGATACCTCTATCAGAATGAATCCAATTTTTTAAAAAATTAAGAGTTGGTAAGGATATAGAGCAACTGGAACATCCATATGTTATTGTAAGAGTGTAAATAAATACAACCACAATGAAAACCATTTAATAATACCTGGTAAAACTTAGTCTTACTCTGTCCTTTAGAATTTCCATTTCTAGGCTGTATATACAGCTAGAAATATATTTTCCAAGAAAAATATGCATATATGAGCTCCAAAACAATCTATGATAATTTTATAGCAGATTTATAATAGAGAAAAAGTAGATACAGCACAGATCCCAAAGTAGAATGGATAAATTGTGGTATTATTCACACACTGGCATAGACTATAAAGTAATAATAATAAAGAACTGTTACACACAACTAACTATATGGATGGATTGCAAAGGCATGATGAGCAAAAGAGACCACACATAAGATTTCTTTATATGAAATTCAAGAACAAGCAAAGTTATTTATGATAGAAGTCAATTACAGTTGTCTGTTGGGGAAAGAGCAGTGAAGAGATTAGGAACCTTCTGGGGCAACAAATATTCTATATCTTGATATGGACATAGATGTTTTATATCTTTATATGTTTATGGCTGTGTGTATATATATGTAACAGTGAATGTGTGTATATACATACACATACACACAAAATAAATTTGTGTGTCGGTATGAAATTTCAAGACATTTTCACAGAGAATCTAATAGAAAATGGTTTTAAAGTAAGGATATATTTAGGAAAATTAGCATCTTGACCATAACCTTGCCAAGAGAGGATAGAGGAGCATGTGAAAATGCCATCTCTGAAAAATACCATTACAGAATAGGCAACAACCTTGTTTGATGAGTTAGTTGGATACAAGAAACTGGGCCAAATAGCCTCTTGAAACTACTTTCTGCTCCTCCCTTCTTACCTTCCTTTTTTCCTTTTGTTTATTTACTGCAGGTAACACGTTATGAGTTTATTAGGAGAAAGAAATGTGGAACCCAAAATATTGCTAATATAAAAAGAATTAGGCCTAATTTATCATGTTTCAAAGAGCCATGCCCAAGTCACCCAAATAAAGTCCGTATTTGGTAAGGTTAGCTGCTCTTTAAGTCAACCCTCACAAGTTAAGGAATTGTATACGGTTAGGTTCTTAAATTTTTTTTTTTTTATCTTTAGCATCACCCCATATGTTTATTGGCAACAGTTAAGTCAGAAAAATGAGCACAAGCAAAGAGAAAAAGGTGTTCTGTCTTCTAAGGTATTTAAAGTCAGTGGAAATGGAAAGACCATTCCTTACCCCATCCCACAAAGTGTACCTTCTGTGAACTTTTTCCAGTTAATAGATTGGAAATAACACCAGCTTTGTTGTTAGATAGTCCTGGGTTCAAATCCTGCATCTGCTACACATGAGCTGTATATTGAGCAAGTTACCTAAGTTTTCATCTTTTTAGTAACTTAAAGTCTTTTTTCTTTTTTAAAATAGTGTAATAGTCAAGCTTTACTTGTTTTTCCCTTTTTCATTGGTACATAATATTTTACATATTTATGGGGTACATGTGATATTTTGTTAATGCATAAAATGTATAATGGTCAAGTCAGGGTATTTGAGGTGTCTACATACTGAGTATTTATCATTTCTGTGTGTTGGGAATAATTCTATTCCTCTCTTCTAGCTACTTTGAAATATACATTGTTAACTATAATCACTCTACTCTGCTGTTGACCATTAGAACATATACCTTTTATCTAACCGTATGTATATTTGTACCCATTACCTACCTCTTTTCATTACTCTCCCTACTCACTCACCTTTCTCAGCCACTAGTGTCTGTAATTCTACTCTCTTTTCTTTTTAGATGGAGTCTTGTTCTTCTGCCCAGGCTGGAGTTCAGTAGCACAATCTCAGCTCACTGCAACCTCTAACTCCTGGGATCAAGCAATTCTCCTGCCTCAGCCTCCCAAGTAGCTGGGACTACAGGTGCATGCCACCACACCTGGCTAATTTTTATATTTTTGGTACAGATGGGGTTTCACCATGTTGGTCAGGCTGATCTCAAATTCCTCACCTCAAGTGATCTACCTGCCTCAGCCTCCCAAAGTGCTGGGATTACTGGTGTGAACCACTGTGCCCAGCCTCTATCATTCCACTCTTCTTTTTGAGTATCAATTTTTTAAGCTCCCACATATGAATGAGAACATACAGTATTTGTTTTTCTGTGCCTGGCTTGTTTCATTTCACACAATGACCTCTAGTTCCATCTGTCTTTCTGCAAATGATAGGATTTTATTCTTTTTAGGCTGAATAGTATTCCATTTTGTATACACACCACATTTTCTTTATTCATTCATCCATTGATGAACACTTTGGTTGGTTCCGTATTCTCACAATTGTGAATAGTACTGTGATAAACCTGTGAGTGAAGGCATCTGTTTGATATTCTGATTTCTTTTCCTTTAGATAGATACCCAGAAGTAGGATTGCTAGATTATATGGTAGTTCTATTTTGTGTGTGTGTGTGTGTGTGTGTGTGTGTGTGTATGTGTGTGTGTGTTTAAATAATATGGGGTTAGGTTCTTAAATTTTTAATCACCAGCATCTTTTAGCTTCTTACTACTTAACAAATTCCTCTACTTTCATGTTATTTATATTGACAGTTGCAGGAGTTTTTGTAAATAACTATGCAAATTACTTAATCTGTTCTTCAGGTGAGTATAATAAAGTTAGCTATCTGTATTGTTATTTATTGTGGGATTGCCAAAAGAATCTCATGATTTAAGAGGCCTAAAATGCCACAGAAAATCCTAAAACTGGCAGCATTATTGACTAAACATTTTGAAAGTAGATTTCTTTTCTCCTTGCTTTAAATGTGGACAGTAACTAAAAGAATAATAATTTCTGAAAGAGAGAGCCTATTACTTTCTTATTTGTTAATGATGAGCTATTCCCATTTGGGCAGTTTGTAGGAAAATAGTTAACAAATCTATGCAATTTAGAAAGGAGAAATGACTGAATTTTGTTACTATTTATGTTTCTATTCCATTAGTAAAAAACATTCTGAACACTTCTTTAGGCTGAAAACAGATTGCCTTCTTAGTGAGAGAAACTAAGTTTTACTTACCACTTGTTTCACACCTGTCTCTCTCTCTCTCTCTCTCTCTCTCTCTCTCTCTCTCTCTCTCTCTCTCTCTCTCTCTCTCTCTCTCTTTGGATGGAAAGAATCTTATAGCAATGATTTGGGATTCTAGTTGCTTAAATCAATCATAAACAGTGTGTGTTTAAGGCAGTATGTCTTTCTGTAAGGCACTTCATTATTTCCATATCAGTATTTCATTAATCCTGCATTCCTAGGAGATGATTTCAGAGTACTCTGTTTCATTATCTGTAGGAGAAAAATGGAGATACTGGTACTCTTACCATTCAAAAACCAAAAAAGCACACAACTCAGGTGCTGTGTCAATCTACTTTCTACTTGGAATTAAATTTTAATCAGTTAGCTTAACTATTAGGTTATATTGTGTTCTCTGAACCTTAGGTATGAAGGAGTCTTTACTCTTGGTTATAGTTGTTTATCTAAAAGCTTTTTAGCTTTGGAAGTTTACGAAAAGTACACTTAGTTATGTTCAACCTTTTTTCTGCTTAAGGTTTTTAAGAGTAAAAGGTTTGTTTGGTTTGTTGTGAGACAGGGTCTCTGTGTCGCCCAGGCTGGAGTGCAGTGACAGGATCTTGGCTCACTGCAACCTCCGCCTCCCAGACTCAAGTGATCCTCCCACCTCAGCCTTCTGAGTAGGTGGGACTACAGACCTGTGCCACCACCCCCAGTTAATTTTTGTGTGTGTTTTTTTGTAGAGATGATGTTTTGCCATGTTGCCCAGGCTATTCTTGAACTTCTGAGTTCAATCAATCCACCTGCCTTGGCCTCCCAGAGTGCTAGAATTACAGGCATAAGTGCCCATATAAAAATGTTTTATATATACATTTTGGTTAGGTAATTTTTTTTTTGAGACTTGGCATCCTATTATTTGTTTGAATTTGTTGCATCTTCTCTGGTCTTCCCAAGATATTATCAAATATGTGTGTATTTTTTAGGTGAATATTTAAAAAAATTTTGCATCCTATTTGGTGATAATTGGATATTGGTAGTGTATGATATGGACGTAGTTGAGAATAATCATCGCATAAAAACCTTTCTTTTCAACTTCATTTTTATGTTTCTTACCTGAAGAAAAAAGTTACAAACACTATATGGTTTCCTCATAATATTAAGGTTTTATTTATTTTTTGTTTTTAGAGATAGGGTCTCACCCTGTTGCTTAGGCTGGAGCATCATGCCTCACTGCAACATCAAATTTCTGGAGTTAGGCAATCCTCCCACCTCAGGCTCCTGAGTAGTTAGGACTATATAGACACATGCTACCTTGCTAATTTTTTAATTCTTATTTTTTGTAGAGACAGGGTCTAGCTTTCTTGCCCAGGCTGGTCTTGAACTTCTGGTGTCAAGTGGTCCTCCTGCCTTAGCTTCCCAAATCATTGGGATTACACGTGTGAGCCATATTGAGGTTTTAGAGAGAGAAATTACTACTTATTTGAAGAGTTAGGATACTACAGTAGTTTCCCCTTATCCATAGGAGATATTTTCCAAGACCCCCAGTGGATGCCTGAAACTGAAGATAGTACTGAACCCTGTATATACAGTCTCATGTCATTTAACAATGGGATACCTTCTGAGAAATGTGTTAGATGATCTCAACATTGTGAGAACATCATAGAGTGCCCTTACATAAACCTAGATAGCATAACCTACTATACACCTAGGATATATGGTATAGCCTGTTACTCCTAGGCTACAAACCTATACAGTGTGTCACTGTACTGAATACTGTAGGCAGTTGTAATCCAATGGTATGTATTTGTGTATCTAAACATAGCTAAACACAGAAAAGGTACAATAAAAATACAGTATTATAATCTTTTTTTTTCTCCCTAGCCTACTGCTATTAGAGACAGAACAGTATTATAATCTATGGGACCACTGTCATATATGTGGCTCATGTTAACTGAAAACATGACTGTACTGTTTTTTCCTATACACATATATCTTTGATAAAGTTTAATTCAGAAATTAGGCATAGTAAGATGTTAACAACAGTAACAAACTAGAACAATTAGAACAGTAGGCCAGCATCACTCCTCTTATGCTTTGTGACCATTATTAAGTAAAATAAGGGTTATTTGAATACAACACTGCCGTAAGGCAACAGTCAATTTGATGACCAAATCGCTTACTCAGTGACTAGCAGGTGGGAGCCAGGGCTGGATATGCTGGACGAAGGGATGATTCACATCCCAGCTAGGATGGCATGAGGTTTTGTCATACTACTCAGAAAGGCACGCAATTTAAAACTTCTGAATGGTTTATTTTTGGAGTTTTCCATTTAAATATTTTTGGATTGCAGTTGACTGTGGGTAATGAACTGCAGGTAAGGAAGGACTATTGTAATACAAATTTTAGAGAGTTGTTTTGAGAAATCAGTGGGATAATAAAAGTGAATTGCCTAACATAGTGACTGTACATAGTAGGCTCATTCCAACAAAGGCTTTAAATGTAGCATGTGACATAATTTTGCTCACGGGAAGTTGTGAGGCACTAGAACAGGAAAAAATATATCTATATACCAATGAGTTCTGCCCTAATCAGTTACTAAATTCAATCAGAAGTAACAAAAAATTCCAAGAGGAGCACATAAACTGGAAAGTTTCCTTAAATGAAATGTTGTCCTCCCAGTGGTTGTCTGGAAGCAGACCCAAACAGAGGAAGAGTGGCAAAGATGGGAAAAATTTTGGGAACTGCTCTTATGGTTATTTTTCATACCTCTTTACCTGCATTGATTCACTCTGAGCTGTTCCTTTTGTTTGTTTTGTGTGTAGATTTTTAAAAGTTACTTTATTCCAACAAGGGAAGGCAATTACCTTAGGAGGCCACTTTAATGTGTTTAACTTTGGCACAAGTTGAAGTCACCGTCGGAGTATGCCTCTCTGCACCTGACATTCCTTCCTGAAGCAGGACCCCTCCCTGTGAATAAGAGGAAAGGCTTGGCCAATTATGCTAGACAAAGCCGCACAGCTGCCGAGCCCAGCTGGGAGGAGTTTCCTTCTTGAGCAGGGAGCTGGTACAGTCAGGGACTTGCTTTTCACCACCTCCTTTTTTCACACTGCTTTACCTTAGAGGATTACCTAAGGCGGAGGTAGAGGAGGGAGTGTTGCTGTCTGCAGTGGACACTCTCCTCTGGGAGGGCTGGAGAGGGGAGGAATTGGTGCAGTTGCCCGTCTCCTGCTTGGAGCAGATGCTGTCCGACCCCAGCACGCCACTCCTCCTCCCACAGGGACCAGAACATCAGGTCTGTCCCCTGGAATTTCAGGTAGCACCACAGCGGCATCTTCATCTAGTGGTTAGGTGGAAAGGGAAGGGGTGGTCCTTGTGTCTGGACCCCTCACCGCCGACTCACAGGAAGTGCTAGAAGAGCTTGGCACTGGACGCAGCGGCTTCAGGATTACTGCCCCACCCGCCCTGCCCTCTCCCACGTAGGTTTTGCAGTGTCTCTTGATAGAACAATGAAGGCATTCCAAGTTTGCTAAGACTCCCAGGGAAATTATTTGCACTTCTCTGGCAGTCTTCAAAATGTTCTGCCACCGACTTTCCCAAGAAGCTGTTGTTTAAAAAACCCTTCCTTCGTGGATTGCTTTGTCTGAAGATCCTCTGAGTGATCATGGTTCAGCGCTTTAGCCTCAGGAGGCAGCTCTCCAAGGTGGGTCGGTAGTTCTGTGTGTTTGTGGAGGGGAAACTCTCACTTGCTTCAGCATGGTTCCTTTTTCTCTGGAACTGTTCTGTCAAGCTTGCTGTCCTCCAGCGCTAAGGAGGGGATGGGGGCGGAAGCGCTGCCTTTTGTTCTTTCATCTGACAGGCACAAAGCTTGAAGGCTGACTGCACTGGCAGCCTCAGATTGTGTGCCCCTAAAACTGCAACTGTCATCTGAATTTGGGCAAAGTCGTAGTTTGCTCCTGAGATAGAATTTCCAGAAGGGTGTGTGTAAAAGAGATAATTGTGGGTTGAAAGTATGTATTTAATTAGCAATTAATATAGCAACTTGTGGACCAAGAGGAGAAAACCTTCTTGGTCTGTGGAATCAGTGCTTTTATGTATTTTACTATTAAACTGAGAAAAACTACCACAAAGTAGTTCAACGAGCAGGACTTGCATTAAAATGTTAAAATGAGTGGTTGTGTTGAGAAACTTGAATACTTAATGAAGTACGTGAAAAGCAGTTTCGGAGAGGCTCACAAAGCAGTTTTTACCGAGTTCTGACTGAAAAGCAGGTTCCATGTGTACAGCTTTTGGGGAAAAGTTTTTTTTTAACCTGAGAAAATCATACTTAAAATAGTAAAAAGGTGAAGCACTGATTTAAGAGAGGATGGTGATTTATGAGATCAGCCAGCCCTCCTTGATCCAGTCATTGAGTTTAGCTAGTACAGAAACTAATAAGCAAAGAGGTGTGGTAAGAGTTGAGCTTTATTTCAAAACCCATTGTTTTCTTTAAAAGCTCTATTTAAAAAAAATGTAGCAGTTGGTGGCTCAGTTGTGTTGTAGTTCATTCCCTGAATACAGGAGCTTAAACAAATAGTAAATCAGTAGGCATTCTTCACTGCCTTGGCTATTAATCAAAATTATTAAATCCTGAAATGTGTTGTGATCTTAAGGGAAAATCTTTAGTTCCTTACAGATGACCCCAGTGTAGAGTGTGTACACTGACGCAGAAATGAGCTAAGTGCTTGCCTCCATCCCTGTGTCAAATTGCATAGCTTTTCTTGGGATCTCTAAAGCTAACGGGATTTTTAGGAGTATTAAAATATATTTCACTTGCTTCCCTTACCCCCTGCTCCATTGTGTGTGTGTGTGTGTGTGTGTGTGTGTGTGTGTGTTTGTGTTTGAAAGCCTCCACATTTCTCCTACACAATAAAAAGAATCATTTTTCTTGCTCTTTTAAAGTCCGCCAGTGCTTGTATTTTCATATATGTATTTAAAAAGCAGATGGGTAGATTCTCAGGGCAGTGACATTCCTGCACAAGAGTATCTGATAGTTGAGAGCCAGGTGATACTTTTCTAATTAGAAGATAATACATTATGGGTATTTTGCTGCCAATACTTCTCTCCCAATTATTTTTTAAACTTTACCCTTTTCACTCTCTACTATGTATATGACAATGGTTTACAAAAAGGACATTTTTGATGGAATAGGATGCATCCTTTCTATAATATGAATAAATGAAAGGTATATTACTTAAAAACATTCAAAGATGTAGCCTTTTTTCATTCCTTTTACTGGTGGTACCCCTCTTGCTCATTTTAATGTGATTTATGGATCCTATAATGGTTGATCTAGACCAAATCTAAGGAAATTTGTTGTCTATCAAATTTGTTGTTCTATCAGAATAATGAACTGAAAAAATATTTTTTATTATTTCAGTCTGTAGGCACTTAAATATGAAGGAGAAACCGAATAGTTATGTTAGTGAGTTTAAAAACAAAAAAACTCAGCAAATGGACCAGCCTGCTCAACATGGTGAAACCTTGTCTCTACTAAAAATACAAAAATTAACTGGGCACGGCGGTATGTGCCTGTGGTCTCAGCTACTTGGGAGTCTGAGGTAGGAGGATCACTTGAACCCAGGAGGTAGAGGTTGCAGTGAGCCGACATTGTGCACTGCTCTCCAGCCTGGGTGACAGAGCTAGACTCTGTTTTTTTAAAAAAAATATATCAGCAAATGCTGATTCTTGAGTTAGGTGGGATCAGCTTTTTTTTTAATCATTAAAAGAAACTGAATTTCAGAGAAGTTAAGTCATTTGCACGAGATCAACAGGAAGTAGAGTCAAATGTAGATCTACAAGAAAACCCATTCTGTTTTCCCACACCAACTGCCTCCCTAAATTTCTGGCATGTTAATCATTCTCACTATCGTGGTCTCCGATGTTTTTCTGCGTTTATCTAAGATAGAAAACAATAAATATGAGTACCGCGAGCTAACTGATTGTGCCACTGGAGCTCTAGAAAACAATAAATAAACTTGGGTAACTTGGGTAACTTCCTTAGAGCAGCCCTTTCCTAGAGAGCTAAAGTATGTATTGAATAGAGTTTGAACTTAACAGTCAAACTTGATAAAATATTTCCCATAATTAAATTTGCTTTCTTTGGGCAGAGATATATTGATTTGAATAAGATTATTGATTTAATAAAGCCATATTAAATATGTAGTAATTAGATGTAAGTTGAAACTTATCTGCATGCAGTTGTGAAACTTAAAATTACACCACCTTTTAAAGAAGTTCTATTAAGGAGAAAAATTTACTCTTGAGTTTCTATAATAATGTTTAAGGATGAAATACAATGAGTTAGACTTTCAGAAAGTCCTTCTTAAATTACTCTGACCTTCACTCTGATCAGAGGAAACTATTGTCCAAAATCTTTTATGGGTAGTAGAAGATCAGTTTTTTCTGAAGTGTGATAAAGGGTAGGGGAGCTTTGAGAAAACTTGTAAAGATTATTTCAGTAAAATATTATACCCTTTTATTTTACTTTTGAATGGTAATTGTCATCACAGTTCAAAATTTTAAATTACATAACTGAAATCTCAGCTTCTGGCTGTGTCATTTCATGTAGTTCACACTGCTATCTCTGTAGATAACCAGTTTCTTATTTATCCAACTGTTTATGCATATGTAAGCAAATATGAACATCTATTTTCTGACTTTTCTAACATGAAAGATAAATGCCATACCGATTATTCTAAGATAATAAGTCAGAACTTTAATTTTCCAGATGTGGATCTGAATAGCTCAGTTTGGAGTTCACATTTATTTTCACATTTTCATGCGAGACTTACTTGAGGGTAGAGGTAGCCTCACAGCACCTACTTTTTATATTAAAGTTCATTGAAATAACAGTAAATCAGTGATGATTCTTTTTCAATCATACCATATTTTCTTCCTGTTCTATTTGAGAGCTTTCTTTTGCTGTCTTTACATTTTTCATATGGTGAAAAAACATAGAAAGTAAAAATCCTAGGCCAGGCGCGGTGGCTCATGCCTATAATCCCAGCACTTTGGGAGGCCAAGGCGGGTGGATCACGAGGTCAAGAGATCGAGACCATCTGGTCAACATGGTGAAACCCCATCTTTACTAAAAATACAAAAATTAGCTGGGCATGGTGGTGCGCGCCTGTAGTCCCAGCTACTCAGGAGGCTGAGGCAGGAGAATTGCCTGAACCCAGGAGGTGGAGGTTTCGGTGAGCCGAGATCGTGCCATTGCACTCCAGCCTGGGTAACAACAGCAAAACTACGTCTCAAAAAAAAAAAAAAAATTCTACCAGTATGTGTCAGTTTGACCTGTGAAGAGATTAGTAGCTGAGAAATAGGTTTGTGGCATCTTTTCCCAGTTCTGTTGATTTGTTGAAATTATTTAATCCAGACTTATAAAACAGTTGGAAATATTTTAGTCTAAAAATGCTGTCCTTGTTGTTTCCATATCTCATACTGTCCTGTCACTTGGTATCAGTTTGTTAGTGTCCTATCACTTGGTATCAGTTTGTTATCAGTAAAAGAAATTTAAGAAGTAGAGAAATGTTAGTTAGAATTTGAATTTTTAATAAAACCTGTTGCTTTTTTTCAGAAGTAGTTTCCTTTGAATTTCTACCTGATTTCTTTTGGATTTATGGTCTATGATATATGACTGACTTAATCTTTCTGTGAATATCTTTTTAAAAGTATATAGGGATCTCTTTCTTCCATCTTGAGTAGGTTAATTAGGGTTGTTTAAAAGTATTTTGATGACTAAAATGGTAAATTTTATGTATATTTCACCACATTTTTTAAAAGGTATGTTGAACCCTCTTAACTATAAGCACTAGGTGGGTACAGTGAAGTAGTATAGTATTATATGTAATAACAGCCCTGAATGCATAGGTAGAGTCAGTACTGGGTGCATGTTTTCAAATAATGGAAGGACTTACTTCTGTTTCTTATGCTTTTTATTTAATAAATTTTCTCTAAGTACTCTAGACATTGACAAACTTCATAATTGGAAATGTAATGTTTTTCATTAATACTCTACTAATGGTTAAACGTAATATTTCCTTGTTAATCATTAACCCACTTTTAGGAGGCTTAAATCAGGTAGCATTCTAATTGCTACTATGATATGTCTATCTGCTTTCTAGAACTTGAATACTCAAGTGTCCAGCATTATTGGAGATCAGTCATTTTGGTATTTTGCAAAACCAGAATAGGAAGATTGATGTTGTTCTTCTGTTACATGAAATGACACCCCGGTAGGATTAATTTTGTGTATTGTTGATGTAGTGGGAATGGATAAGGAACAGAGAATGACTTCCCTATTTAAATATGTTTGGAAATAATAGGCTAAAAATAGAGAAACTAATTTAGAAATGTGTGTAATTCTGAAATGCTTTCATGATAGTGATATCAGTTTAAATTTTAAAAACAGTAATAAATTATTGACCATGTAGATCTGAGAGAGCAAAATATGCTCCCCAGAGAAGATAGTTAAATCTCCTTGGAGATTGCAAAGTTTTCTGTGTTCTAACTACATGTTTCCTTGACCTTAAGATTTAGGAAATTGTATCTCTATGGATTTATGTCATTTAGACTCCTGCATAAACATCAGTACTTAGAAACATCCTAATGAAATTTCCCATCTCTATTCAGTGAGCACGTACATTTAGGTATTTAGATATA